AACACTAAAACACAAAGATTCTAAAATACAAACATAAAGTAATAGAAGATTATTAAAAACAACTATTATTAGACTTATCTTTTCAATGTCTCTGTCAGTATGCAGTTACAGCAGTGGAAATTGTTACCGCAACCAAAAGTACATCCAGTTATTTTCAAAATAATAAAGGGTTTTGCTTTGTTTTGTTTTGTTTTGTTTTGTTTTGTTTTGTTTTGTTTTGTTTGATCTACTGGCTCTCAATCTCAGTTTGTAAGGTAAGTGGACATTTTGCATGAGAGCAGCTTTGTTTAATTAAAAAGACCGAGTACTACAACTTAAAAAGATTTTCACAGATTTTCTTGGCCTTCTTTATGTTGTCAACCTCTTGGCTGATAATAGGAAATATATGAATCTCATACAGTAAGTAAGTTTTTTAGAGTTTTGACAGAGGTCAGTATCATCATTGCCATATTTTGTTCTTCTGAGACATTTATTCTCACTGATTTGTATGAAGTTTACACCAGCACCAGGCAGTGATCCTGAAACAACTGAAGTGTAACTTGACTTTAATTTTCCCTCTTAATTCCTTTCTTCTCCAGAGAAATTTATTGAAATAAAACATGCCCTCTGAGGTGAACAAAGAGGTACAGTTTGTGCTTGGGGATTGCTTTTCCCCCCCATCCCAGGTCCAGCTGAATATAAAATGATCCCTTTTACAGAAATGTGGTGGTTCAAACGCAACCATAGGACAATTTATATGACCAAATAATTGTACACTGCTGTTTTACCGAGATAATCGACCCCCAGTTGTCATAACACATTAGATTTTGTTCTGTACCTCAGAATATTCTTGCAGACCCCTCTTTGCTGGTTTCTCAGCAGCTTTCCTGCCATTCCACTGTTTGATGTGGTGTTAAGTACTTTCATATTTTTTTCAGCTTATTTTGCTTTTTATGTAAGAAAAGCTGAAAGCAAAGGAAGATGTTTATAATGGTCTTCCGAGAGAATAGCCCATATGAATCACTCTACTATGCTGACATTAAAAAATAAATTCTGGTGGAGGTAGGCTCAGTATTACTTGGAATTTTTTATCCTATGATAATATAGAGGTGTGATAAAAACAAGAATGTTGTTTCTTCTGTTTTCAAGCAGCTAAAAATAACTGAGTAGTCCACCTGAAACTACAAGAGATAGAGAGATAAACAATTTAGCAATTAGTTAATTTGATTAATAATACACAGGACTCATTATCAGCAAAGAGGGCAAAATAGGACACTATTTTTAGCATAAATTGAAAATAAATATCCAGCTTTTCTGTTCCTGGTGCTTAATATCACATAGTGCCATAAAGTGTTAACTTGACAGAGCAGAAGAAAAAAAAAAAAGTGTTATCAAAGAGTTATTAGAAAGAATATGATCTTCCAGAACATACTTTGCTGATTAACCTTCAATACTATGATTTTTGCTGTCCATAGTGTAAAATACTTTCAATTTGAGATGCTGAACATTGTGGAATAATTGAATCAGTGATCAGGGTAATTTCAATCAAGAGAAGTGATATTCGATTAGACTTCTGATTTTGGATTGAAGGGCAAATGACAATGAAAATAGATCTTTAGTGAAAACATTTTATCAAACTAATTGAAGATTTGTAATGAAGTTTTGCGTGATGGCACAATTACATGTGAAAGATGTAGGATTTTGAAATTTATGTTTCCCCAAGTCCTGAAATATTTTTTTTAAAAACTCTCTTTTATCACATACAATTTACACAATTGTTTTTCTAAGATAGGTCTCAAAATTTAACCTTGTGAGGAATTACCATGAATAAGCTGTGTTGATTGTAATAGGGTTGAAAAGAACTGGATAAGACATTTTTTTAAGCAATTTTTTACAATTAGTCTGGAGGAAAACACAAGACTGTGAAACGTAAAGTATAAAAATACCTGATGGCAAGAAGTTGAAGACACAGGACATAGATTAGAAATAAATTGTGTATGTCATGCATTTTAACACAAATATCTACCATTTTAACAGTCCACCTAAACTACAGTGCATTCTGGATTACTGAATATTTTTGAACTCATATTGGATATATTATTTTCTTTCTAAAGCTGATACTTTATTTCAATTCAGGTAATAAAAAAGGCTGATACTATACAAGAGCCAGTTTTGGTGTCTTTTAGTTGTAAAATCTATGAAACACAATGAAATGTTTCAGTTGAAGAAATTCTCAATTATTGGAATTGTGTTTAGTTTTGGTTGGGTTGTTAAGCTTACTTTAATGTCAAGTTTCAGCTCAATAATTTCTTAGGGACTAGAGGATATACATGTAGGAATAAATTGTGTATATTTAGATGAACTTTCTTTCTTACATTCGTACCGTGGTAAGACCCATTTTCAAAAGGGGTAAGAAAACTGAAAATAACTGAATTTCTGTTACAATTAGAGTGAGATTCTGTAATCATAATATTGAAAGTTCCCCTAAAGTATCTTGATGATAAAAGTACCTTCATCATGACTTTAATTGTTATGCCTTAGAGAAATAAATATTCAGTAAACTGCACCCGGAATATTAACCAGAATTTAAACAAAACAACTTGCTGACACAATAGGATAAATCAACCAAATGTCATGCAAAATTAATAAGGAAAACACCTTCAGGTCTCAGGATTGTTACAGAGAGTAAATTTTTACTTAGCTCCCAAAGACAATTTTCTATTTCATGGTTTTACCCCTGTGTTTTGAAACAGTGTCATCTCCGTATTTTGTTGTTGTTTCCAAATTGGACTTATAACAGAAAGATTTGAGAGTACAGTTTAGTTCCAGAACAATTTTACCAAAAGAAAAATCAAAACTATTAGGTACGATGCTTATAAATTGTCATATTGCCAAAACCACCTGTATAGAACTGACAATGAGCCATATGAAATTATACTGTTATATCCTGGGAGAGTGATATTACTGTATAGGCTGGAATTTGGTTTCCTTTTAATTCTTACTTTTGATTCTATTTTACTTTTATTTCTAAGAATTATGAAACTGGGAATATTTTAGATTAGACTAACATGATGAAACTGAGTTTTGGAACACAAGTTAAGTCCCTAGTCTGGAGTATATAATATTTAAAGCACTCTCTGCAGCAGAGAATTACGCTTGTTGTGATGAAGACATCATAAGAAAATATTTGTTATTCTGGCTTTTTTGTTCCCTATTCCTTCCCATTGTATATATTGCCAAAACTGGAATTAAAGAGTTTTGAAGTCAAATCAGATTGCTCTGTTTCTGATCTTCCAACTTCTTTATTGAATAGCAACAAGCCATATCCTCAGTAAAATACTTTTCATTTTCAAACAAAGAACAAAAGGCTGTCTTGTACTTTTAAGAAAAATGGGGAATTCTTTAAAGAAATTATTTTCTGGGATAATAGATTTAATTTTAAATGGTAAATAATTGTAGATCTCATGAAGGGCAGCGGAAATGAGACTGTGGTAAAACACTTCCCAGATAGAACACAATGTTGTATGAAGGAATTAATAGAACTCCTTTTGTTTGCATAAACTGTGAATATTGGAAAATGTCATTCTAAGTAGTTAAAAGGGTTGCATTTTTTTTCTTCTCAGTAGCATAACAGATTAGACTTTGCTGCCATTTTTTCACTAAATATACAATCAGTTTATAATATTTTCTCGATTCTTATTCCTGAAAATGGCAGCAAAATTAAACAGATTCCGAGCATTCAAGATTTCATGAAACTGACCTGAGAAATTACCAGATTTATTTCCAGGAGTGGAGAGCACCAACCCCAGCCTGTATGACCAATAGATCATATATGGTTCTGCAAGCTTTTCCTGCATAATATCTGAAGTTTTTGATTTTCAAATATCTTAAAGTATTGCCAAAGAGTCAGACAAAAAGAAAGACGTGGGATCTTTTTAAAGTTTAGTCCTTCACAATAAAACTTGCTAAAAGCAAAGCTTTCAATTCATGTACTATTTAGTGTGAAGTTATCAGAGGATTATCAAAATATGTGTAAGCTTCTACACTTTTTTCCTCCATTTTTTCTCCTCAAAATAATAACATACTTTAATTTTCTTGGGTTTGTTGGCTTGAAATGATAAATTTATCAGATATTGGGTTTAGAGGATGTTTGTACTTTGAAGTATGTTTCGAAAAGTAAAATATAAAAAAAATTAAAATCTTAAAAATTAAAACTTAAATGTAAGAAAAGCTTGCTTTTAAAAAGAGGTGAAATTAAAGGAATTACTTTGATGGTGATTTTCTGTCCTCTGTACTGAAATACCTGTTTTAAAAGTGCATTTAGCTATAACAAGATCACATTTTAATCTTAAATTAGTAGGAAAGTCATTAAAAAATGAGCATGCTCTTAATTTATATTTTTCATTCTCTTTTTACCATTGAAAGGTAAATATTTTCTTACATGTAACTCCAGTGTGTTCATAAGCTAAGTGTTACCCAGTGTTGATAATGGCAATAATGAAAAGACTTGACTTTCATACAACTTTTACAAAGAATTGGAAGGTTTTCCCCAGTATGTACTAGGCTTTTATTTGTATACTGAGAATTTAGCACATTTACTGGTGAATACATGTTTTTTGTGTGCGTGAAAACTGAATTTCATGCTGTTCTGCCGAGAGACACATGGTTCCTTGCGCAGGTCATGTTTTTAAAATTTCACATTGTATGTAAATAATATTCTATTTGATGCCATCTGCCCTTTCAAACTCACATAAAGAGCTTTGAGAGTGATTAATTCTAGTTCAAGCCTAGAAAAATATGAGGTTTCTTTTGACATCTCTACTCGTAGCTTGGCAGTCCCGGTCACAGTTCAAGTTAATCTCAGAACCAGCTCTCACAAAACACAGAATATCAAACATAGAGGCAAGTTTACTGCTTGTCCTCATTATACTTCATTCATGTGGTACATGGAAATGGAAGATATAATCAACATAAATAATGTATTCTTTAAATCCCCTTATTAATCCTGTAGGTCTTGATCTGCACAAGCTTAAAGAGTTGCAGTCTGTGTGTGAAGTCCTTTACATTACTGGAAGAGAAATAAGCAGAGAGGTCCTACAAAGATCCTATCTCACACACACAAAAAATAATGCAGGAAGTATTACATATATTAAATTCTGATTGAATCTGAAGAGGTAAGCCTAATCCATTTTCTCCTTGAGGTAAGGAAGAGTCTCTATCTGCCTCTCACAGAAACATGTAAGAAAAGGAGTATGTGTTTATGTCTGCAATAGGCATGAGAGGGAGGAAAAGTAAGGCACAATTTGTCAATAAATGCAACCATTTGACTACATTATCAACCTCTGTAATTAATTAAGCCTGCTCACTTTAATTGTTCTTCCTGTAGTGTTTTGCAGCCTTATGGAAAAATACATTTTACAGCAAAGCTGGCCTTTTGCAGCACTTCTGAGAGAAAATGTGACTATTCAGATCTTAAAGCAAGAGCTACACTTTCTGTAAGTACAGTTTAATTAGTAAAACATTATGTTATCCTCTGTTTTTAAAACTACAATGTGTTTCTGTTCCATAATTCATTTCATTCTGGGAAAATACTTTTGAGCAAACAGCAACCTTCTTCTGAAGCTGTTGATGTGAAGGTGTCAGAGTGGAGTTAAAAAGCCCCAAATCTGTGTGTTATCTCAGATGTGCACTTTGCCCTGTGTTTAACCTCACCTGTGATGGCAGCTCTTGCACTTTTTTCTTACCTACAGGTTCATCCTGGCCCACAGGACCTCACCAGCTGGGAGCATCACTGAGCACATCCATGGAACATGCTGTGGTATTGATTTAAGAATCTTGTCTTAGGGCCAGAAATTTTACAACTGAAGTCCTGAAAGACAACCTGCAAGAAAAAAAAATCCATAAGTCTGAGTGCTTCTGAAGATCCATGTTTTTTCATGCCATAAATGTGTCTATGTGAGCAAATAAAATCTACCAGTGCACAAAAATTGTCTTTATATATGCCCTACCTTCACAATCACTGAGCCTGTAGAAGTAAATAAATTAATGTGGACCCCATGAAGCACTTAAAGAAAAAGAATAATTTTTTTAAAGCAAAAATGTAATGGTATTGTAAAAGTGTTATCTAATAATGCTGTTATGACTACATGGAAAAAATTAAGGAAAATATAAACCTTGAATCTTTTTGTCCTTTCTGCAAACTCAGAAGGGCACATTGTCATATATATATATATATATATATATATATATATATATATATGCAAAAATAAATGTAAGTCCATTGAATTCACATCCTCAGTTATTCCAGACTAACTTGTAAAACTGATTGAAAAGCAGCCAGAAAGCCACCTAAAATATTGTTACACAGAGGATGGTTAGTTAGCATTTCAGTAAATTCATACAGATGGAATCTAAGAGTAGGGCTGATCTGTACTGTTGTTTTTACATTATTCTTGTGGCTGCTTTTCAGAAATATTCCAGAAAGACTATATTGCTGTTAAAATGTCTTAAAGATCTTAAATTGAGATTGGAGGCATTTGGAAAGTATAATAACTTCCAAACACATACTAGCTATTTTGAAAGAAATTTATCAACATAGATTTCTGAGAGGTGACAAGCAGAGATAATTTTGTTATTATATTGTCAAAGGAACAATATGTACCATATTCTCCCCTATTTTCCTATTTCTGCTTTTCATATTTGGGTTGTTTCTTTCACAATTATTAATCACTGTCTGCTTATCAGTATCTCCCCTTCAATAATAACCTTTGAGTCTTCATAGTTTTACAGATAATAGAGGTCTAACATGTTATTATATTTTTTAATATTTAAAGAAATAGGAAGGAGATGAGAGGAGATGGACTGCAAAATGCCTAAGATGTGAAGAAAGCTGAACTCATGCACTGCTGGAAATTAGAGAAAAAGAGGCTTTATATTTGCACAACTCCAGAGTAAAACTTCAACATCACTTTGCAAATGCTTTGACATGAAAATCAATCAGCTGCAGTACCTATGTCCGTAGGAAAGCAAGGTTCATTATACTCAGCTCTTAGAAAACATTAATTCTCTCTAGGTAGGATTTACTGGTTCCACCTCTGCTAATAAATAAAACAGGTCAGGTCTTTTTCTCTGTCCAAGAAGGACAACCTGCACAGATCTCACTCACACATTTAAAATTTCTTCCCTCTCAAGTTGTGCCTGAGCTCATATCATATAACGGGACTAACCTGTGCTCTGGAATTTTTGGGAGTGCTGGATTTTTTGCACCAAAGCTGCATCAGGAACCATGTCAATGACTTAACAGAATATAGGCATGCATGGTGGTAGCTGTGCTATGTCCTCGACCATTTCTGTATACTGGTATTTAAATTATATATTATTTGCTATATTATTTAAATTATACATCCCAGTTTTAGTTATGTAAACATAATTCTTACCTATATAAGTTCTATCCCTTCTCTGTTAGAATAAAACTAATGTAAACTTGTTGCCTCTGTATCTGCAGTTTTACAGGAGAGCTAAGTGAACCTAACCCTGGTGACTTACACTTTTAAGATTCTTTAAATCAAAGTCAGTACCATCTTCCATCCTTACTGTTTTCTGAGCACAGACAAAGCACTTCTGTTGTTCCCTCTTCAGTTTTCTGGAAAGTTTACAAAGTTGAGATCCTTTCTTCCAGTACTTTTTTCCCAATGAATGATAGAATTGCTGATTTCCTTCTTTCAAATGAAATTCACATGACTGTATCTGAGTAAATGTAACTTCACCTTTTTCCTCCTTTTCCTTTTGTAGTTATAAAAGCCCCTTGTGACACTTCCTACCAAAAGGCTGTGATCAGTAGCCTGGAAAATAATTTTCCCTGATTTGGTAGGTTGGAATTAACACTTTAATTTTTTTAAGCTTGATTTGAAAAGGTTAGTTTTGGTGCTGTTTGTTGTTGTTGTTGTTGTTGTTTGGGGTTTTTTTGGTTTTGGTTTTGGTTTTGGTTTTGGTTTTGGTTTGTTTTGGTTTGTTTTTTGTTTGTTTGTTTGTTTTTGTTTTTGTTTTTCAAATTCCACAGTGTTCAAGAAGCTGAACTCAAGTGTTCTCACCAACCTTTAGGTACCACATTACTCTACAGCACTTCCATGCCTGTGGTCAGTCATTCAGGTTTAAAGGCTTGCAGTTTTGGGTAAGACTCCAAAAAGAGTCTCTAAGCTGGTTGTAATTTATTTCTCGCTATATAATATGGCATCCAACAGCTCCATGACCGCACACTGACGAACTGCACATTGATGAATTCCCAAAATTCCAGTAATTACTGTTGTGTCAATGGGGGTCCTGAAGCTTCCAGAGGTATACTCACTTCTGCTGTGTGTTCAGCCCTAAAGTTCAGCTGTTCCGGTTTGGAAGCACAGCCAGTCTGTCAGGAATCCCCTCCCACTGAAAGGCAGAGGGACTACCCTGGTTTTAAAAAGCTGTGATTTGAGTTAAATTAGATTTAAATTATGATGTGAAGTGCTTGCATATATACAGCAATTCTTTCACTAAAAACAATGGGATGAGTATAAACAAGTATTTGTAGGTTTATTTTCTTGCATCCCTCAAATTTTGTGAAAGAAGTACCCCACTTCATATCAAAGTATATCAGCAGAGTTTCTGACACATACACTCTGTTTCAAAGAGTAGATATATTTTGAAATAGGCCACAATATATATGTACTTCTGTACAGTCACAGATGATACAATGGGATTATATATATGATTAGTTGTGCAGCTGAATCTTTCTGCTGTGCCATGCTCAGATGATAAAGTAAGAGTGATTCAGATTACTCAATTTTTCTTTTAAGCACCATCTTTTCTGAGCCATAAATACATGGTTCAGGGGTAATTGCTTTTCTCTACTAGGATGCATAGATTACATCCTAGCAGGAGAAAAGTAGAGTTAAACTGTCAGTTATGCTAAAGATCAGTTTTTGTCGTCACAGTGGTTTTGGTCTTCTTGTTAAGATTATCTTCATCAATAAAGCTGAAACTTTGCTTTGATGTATATTTTTTAAGCTTCTTTTCCTTCAACTTTATTTAACTTCCTATACACTAGCAATCTGAATTCAACCTTATTTATTTTTATTTTTTACCACACTTTATATACTGTTTTAGTAGTGCCTTTTTTATATACAGCAGATGATTTTCTTGCTGTCTGTTGATTAATCATATCTCATACTATCAGCTCCCCCACAGCATTTCACACTTTATGCTCAACAGATAAAGTATATCATAAACTATATTATCAGTGCTCAGATAAGCATGTCTATCTTTTACTATCTATATTATTAACATTCCCATCTGCATTTCTGCACTTATAGCTGCAATTATAAATATGTTTTCTCCTTTCATAGTAATACTTTTCTTGTTGATTCTATAGTAGTTTATTTCAACATGTTCAGATTACCCCAGAATTTAGTAGTTTATGGTCTTTATCTAATTGTTGTAAATTGTTAATAAAGCATGTTGTTTGTAAACGTGAAGCTTCAGTGATCCTTAAACACTGGCATATAGTATCGTCTTTTTGTGCTTTAATACTTGTGTTCTTTAATAATTTTCATTTTACTTCAGTTTTTAATATTAACAGGTTGAATAGTTTAGTTTTACTGGTTTTTCTTTCAAAATACCTAAATGTGCTGAAGAACCATCTTGTGCCCAAGACAATATCTGATAGTTAAGCAGGGGGTCTTAATTTTTATTTTGTCTGGTAAATAAGTAGAATTTTTTTACTTAATTCTTGACAGAAATTCTAGTGATTTTGAGATACTCAATGCAAAATACACTGGGAGATCTGTGTTTCTGCTATTGCTTGTCTTATCTGCTGTTTTTAGTCAGCAAAAACACGAAAAGTATAATTTCTGCATTCAAAACAGGAGGGTACTTGTTTCTCTTTGTTTCGGGCTTTTTTTTTTGTAAAAGAGCATCAATTTGCAAGCATTTAACTGGAGTAGTAATATATCATTTTTCATTGGGGTACATGTTGTTGATTGTTGAGCTTTTGCTCCCTCATTTGACATGATAGTATGAAACACAATCTAATGCTTGTCAAGGGGAAAAGTCTTTGGTATGCAAAAGTCTTACCTTCAGGTTTCTAAGTGTATGTATTAATTGCTAAATGTGCTATACATTTCTGCCCTCAGATATTCCACTTACAAAAACTTTCCTCACACCACCAGCACTTCAATGCAAGTTTTCCACTGTTGCTTAAAAAGCTAAAGGTCTGTCCTTCCTTTAGAAAAGACATGGAGCTGCTGGAGCGAGTCCCGAGGAGGCACCAAGTTATCAGAGAGATGGAGCAGCTCTGCTGTGAGGAAAGGCTGAGAGAATTTGGATTGTTCAACCTGGAGAAGAGAAGGATATAGAGTGAACTAACTGTGGCCTTCCAGGACCTGAAGGGGCTTCAGGAAAGATGGAGAGGGACTATTTACAAGGGCCCAGAGTGACAGGACAAGGGAGAACGGCTTCAAATTGACAGAGAGCAGGGTTAGATGGGATATTGGGAAAGAATTCTTGTCTGTGACAGTGGTGAGGCCCTGGCACAGACTGCCCAAAGAAACTGTGGATACCAATCCCTGGAAAATGCAAGGCCGGGCTGGACGGGGCTTGGAGCAAAGTGGGATAGTGGATGATGTCCCTGATTATAGCAGGGGCTGGAACAAGTTGAGATTCAAGGTTCCTTCCAATCCAAACACTGCTGTAATTCTATGATTCTACATGCCAGTGTTTGTTTCCAGGAGTTATTTTCTAAATCTTGTATTGTGAATGTTCTTGACTTCTACGTCCTTCTTAAAGGAACTTGCAATTAAGGTTCTTTTTCATGTTTGCAGTTCATGTCTCTGAGCCACAGTGTTCTTGGTTTTCTTTTCATCTAAATGCAGGTTTTAAACACACATCAATGTTTTTGAACTAACATAGTCATTGTCATATGGTTCCCTCACTTCTGAACGAGTTAATAATTACCTGCTTGAAGATAATGGTTATTTTTAAGTGCTGCAATGTCTTACTATGTAATTGTGTTAGTTAAAAGTTACATCAAAAGAACAGCGATCATCTTCTTAATTTCTGATCCAGTCTCAGGAGTACTTCATCCTTTAACTGACAAAATTTTAAGCCTACTTTAAAATTGTGGGGTTTTAGATATTGGCACCATATTGTTATTCCAGTTATCAGTTTCTGTTTGGTAAAGCATGAGTATGTACAGAGGTTAAAGTATCAAACAAATGGAATTTCCTGCAAAATAGGAGTCTTAAACTTTACTCATGATATTCATGGCCTACAGGCAGCTTTGTTTCCTATCTGCTCTCCCCACCTGTTTGGGACAAGGTTGGTTTCTCTTGTTCCTGTAGAAACTAGAACAGTTTCTGGCTTAGCAGTGCCATTCAAATGCTCTTAGGTTGTTCCCCTGAAGCCAGATTGAATTTCTTCAGCAGGACTGTTCTGCTTCAAATCCCCTAATACTGTTCAAGAAAGGAATATGTAAGGCTCTCTATTTATTCTTTAGGAAATACATTGTTTCACCGTAGAGGGAAAAGGTTGGTAAACATCATAAAAAGTGCATTTTAACGTTGTTTTTTCTCAGCATACCTTCAAAAGAGTAATGCTTCCTTTCCTTATAATTGATGTGCATAAAACACAGGTTGAAAAACAACTATTGTGCTTGTTGTTATATATTCATCTAAATATGTATATGTATATATATGTAAAATACTTTCCAGAGCTGTTCCTTGTCAGTTAAAAATAATTGCTGAAGGAAGTAACACAATGAAATGAAGGAAAATAAAATAACTTGTTAAATGAAAAGTAAAATTATTTAAGTTTGTTGAATTGAAATTATGGTCATGCAGCCTGATTTATATTTGTTATTTTGACTAAATTAAGGAAGCAATTAGAAAAAAAAGTTAAGACATATATCAACGGCAATCAGTACTCATAGTTAACATCATTTTGTGACTAGAATTAACGTTGCATTTGGCAAAGCAATGTTAGCTTGCTGTGGGTACTATCTTAGTATTTTAGAAAAAACATGGTAAACAAGATCTTTAAAAAATTCATGCGAATCTCTCCTTAAAATGAAAGTACTATTAGAAAACTCAAACAATATAATCTGTATAAATTATACCTTTATATTTTCATCCCTCGCAAAACCTTATTCAATCAGTTCAGTTATATCATTCCGTCATCATTAATGGTCCATTACCTTTACTGTGTTTTCAAATCGCTGGTTTTAGGCAACCCAACTTCACTATTGGAAAATATCTTATTTAATCATCCTCATCATCCAGTTCAACACATTTCAATCTGACACATTAACACATCAGGAAGCTTTATTGCCTTATTATCCAAC